ACGATAACTCGAGCAAAAATTGAGATATCTCAACGAAGTTTGGTATGTAGGTTTCTGTTAATCCAAGGTAGGTTGGAATTGAAACTGGGCGAAATCGCACAGTAACCACGCCCACTTCCCATATAACGGTAATTTCCAGAAATACGAAAACTGCGATATTTTAGTAACTACTGAAGATTATTCACTCAAAATTGATATTTACAATAAGTTTTAGACGAAAAATAAGAATATTATAAATTTTTGGAAAATGGGCGTAGCCACGCCCACTTATGGTTACATGTGTATATCTTGGTAACCGCTGCACCAATGTCTTCCGAACTTGGCACAGTTGTTGGCCTTGAAACAGCATTCTAAATGGCCGAAAATTGTAAAAATCGGACAATAACCACGCCCACATCCCATATAACGGTAATTTTCGGAAATACGAAAACTGCGATATTTTAGTAACTACTGAAGATTATTCACTCAAAATTGATATTTACAATAATTTTTAGACGAAAAATAAGAATATTATAAATTTTTGGAAAATGGGCGTAGCCACGCCCACTTATGGTTACAGGTGTATATCTTGGTAACCGCTGCACAAATTTCTTCCAAACTTGGCACATTTTTTGGTCTTGATACAGCATACTAAATGGCCGAAAATTAAAAAAATCGGACAATAACCACGCCCACATCCCATATAACGGTAATTTAGAGAAATACAAAATCTTCGATAAATCAGTAAATATTAAAGCAAATTTATTGAAGATTGATGCTTGCAACAATTCTTTACCAAGAAATACGTTTATGGCAAAATTTTGGAAAATGGGCGTAGCACCGCCCACTTATGATCAAATATGTGTATATCGGTAACCGTTCTACCAATTTGTACCAAACTCGGTATTTTTATTGTGCTTGCTACGTAAAAGCAAAACGTTGAAAATTATTGAAATCGGACTAAAATTACGGCAGCTTTTCATATAACGGTAAATTTCAGAAATGCTTGAAACTGCAATATTTCGAAATTTAAGGACGCTAATTTCCTCAAAATTGATACACCCCGGCTTACCATCTAGCGGTAGCTTTCGGCTCCACCCGAACTTAGACTTTCTTACTTGTTAATAAATGCGTTTAAACATTTGTGATGGTATTGTCCTTCCTTCAGCCGATCGTATTTAAAATAAAAGGGAAATGTTTCGACAAGCTTGATTAGAAATATAGATCTAAGGTGACGAATTTATAACAGGTTCGGAACTATAAAAAATGGGTGCATATCGAATTAGATCTCATCTGTCGAATTTGGAACTGGTTCGGAGCTAGAGCCAAAGGGATGCAACGGGGAACAATTGACACTTCCCAGGACATCGAAATGTGAAATTCGCCAGTCGCTAGCATGCAAAAGAGAATTAACGCGTACTAGTCATGGTTCCAAACGCACTAGAACCGAACCAGTTCCGCACTAGTTCGTTTCCCTACAGGGAATGTACTAGAAGCGCACCAGTTCAGAACTAGAGATTTTCCCCACAGGGAATGGTCGGCATACTACCACATTCAAACGATTCAATAAGTGGGACTGTGTGCATTGCTCACCCAGTAAGAGCCCTATCCATTAACTAATGCGTTATATACGCCTANAAACGAAAGCACTTGTACGGTTGTGTTACGGGGTTTTCTACAACTGTAAACAATTTTCTACCTATCTCTAAAGCTGAGTAGATTCAGTTTAGTGAAGTATTTTGCGTGCCATTTTTCTGTAGATATGTGGTCAGGTGATTCTGAAAGTAAAAACGAAAACGTTCCTACAGTGCATCGGTATCGAGAGAGAATGGATACTTTCTTCATGAGAGACGCAGAATTTGTGGAAAGGTTCAGACTGAATCGAGAACACTGTGAAACTGTGCTTGAAGATATAGGCCCAGTAATCTTGAATAAAACAATTCAATGCTACGGTTTCTTAAAATTTCTTTAACTTTTTTTTAAATAATGCAACTTTTTGCAACATTATTGGTTTTGGAGCCATATTTAATTAATAATATATGTTTTATTTTTCACGGCAAGTGCTATACGTTCGCCGAAAACAAATGCTCGTAATAGAGCTCTTGTTAATAGGGACATGAATTCCGATACGATACTATGTCGATATTTTTTCCATTCGATACCGATATTTTTTAATCGATAGTTTTCAAACGATATTTTTTGGAATCGAATACCAGAACCCTTGTATCGTATCGAATCGCAAAGGTGCATTACAAAGTTAATTGTGTGAGTTTTGGCCACCTCTGGCGTAGAGCATAACGAATGAAAGACTTTTGGATTCGTTCAATTCTGTTAATATGACATTCATAGCATGGTCGCCAGCAAGCAATAAAAATGAATTAAACTATATTAAAAGGTTAGTTCTTTAATATAATCTCTACCTTTCGCAATGTATACATAATACAAAAAAATCTCTTTTCCTTATAATTTGCAACTCGATATCGGTAACAACACTGTTTGCATAAGACGCGTGAGCGACTTATTCTCTTCATTCTGTAATCGTTTACCAAAATTGAAATATGTGATTGTGTGAGTTTTGGCCACCTCTGGCGTAGAGCATAACGAATGAAAGATTTTTGGATTCGTTCAATCCTGTTAATATGACATTCATAATATGGTCGTCAGATGAAGACAGCGTACTCGAGCTTAGAACGAACAAGAGAAGTGTATAGTAGTTTTATGGTATACGGATCAGTGAAATCAGAGCTAAGTCGTCGGATAAATCCGAGCATTGCATATGACTTTGCAATGGTATAATTTAAGTGGCTGTGAAAAAGAAATCTGGCATCAAAAATTACTCCTAAGTCAGAAAATTCACCAATGGTTGTAAGCTGCGAGTCACCAATGAGATAAGACAAGACATGATAACACTTATTTGTATTTAATTTTAACATATTTTTGGAGCACCAAGCAACAACGTTATTAAGATCAGCCTGTAGGTTGATCGAGTTTGAAACATTTGTAATCAGAGAGTAGAGTTTCAAGTCATCCGCATACAATAAAAAATTTGAAAAGTTGAAGCAACTGGATATATTATTGATGAAAATCACGAAAAGTGGGGGGACCCAAAATACTCCCCTGAGGAACACCAGAGGATGCGACGATGGTATAGGAGTACACATTATTAACTATAACAACACAATTCCGTGAAGAAAGATATGATTTTACTCACGATAAAAAAGCTGAATGAAAGCCTATGCTAGCCAATTTTGAAATTAAGATTGAGTGACTGACTGTGACTGACTTTGTCAAATGCCTTAGAAAGGTCCGTATACACCGTATCGACTTGGAGGCGGTTATTAAATGCAGTTAAACAGAATTCGGGAAAAACAGCTACTTTAGTAAGAGTGGACCTTCTAGGCATAACACCACGCTGATTAACAGATATTAAAGGACTAACAGCAAAATATACTTTTTGTTTGACAATAAACTCAAATAATTTTGATATCGTTGATAATTTAGTTATTAGCCGATAGTTGCTTATATCGTTTTTATTTCCACTTTTGAATACACTCACCCTGTTCAAGAGATTTATTGAAAATCAAAAAAAGTGGATAGGCAAAGGCAGAACAATTCTTCAACAGGAATGACGATATCCCATCAACATCGGTTTGAGTTGAAGATTCGATATGCCAGATCCTACAAATTGATCTGCACCATTCCAAAGCGGCCTCGGCTGCCCTTCTTCTTCGCCTCAGCACAAAAGTTGAGGGCTTGATTCTAGTCCAAGAGCCTTGAATCTTTAGAAACAAGGTTTGCTGACTGAACTCTGATGCCTACCAGGTTGTAACAGCTCCAGTAGCAGGTCGGATCAGAGCTTGCATTCTGATTAAAAAAGTATATTCTTATTTTTTACTCTCCCAATACATCGACGAGGACACTGTCTGCATAAGCGTCCAGCTGAAGGAGAGCGTCATCTGGCTGGCAACAATCTACATGGCCCACGACAGCCATGTTTTTCCACCCTACAGACTGGAAGAAGCTGTGAAGGAAGCAAATCGCAGGAAACTCCGGTCATAATAGGGGCAGACTCTAATTCGCATAACACGATCTGGGGCTCAAGCGACACCAACTCTCGAGGTGAGTGTTAACTTGACTTTGTTCTTTTATATAATCTTACTGTGTGTAACCGCGGGCCCGACCCCATTTTTTGACCTCTATTAGAAGCGAAGTGCTGGACATCACCCTTGTTTCGAGCGGTTTGTCTGATCAGATAAGGGACTGGCAGGGGTTCAAAGAACACTCTTTCTCTTACCATCTCTACATTAGCTTTAAGCTCAATTTTGATCGTGCTCCTTTAACAGCATATAGGAACAAAAAGCGAACCGACTGGGCAAAGTATAAAAATACGCTGTCGGTCTCTCTACAATCAATACATATCATATAAAATCACTTTAACCTTTATCAGGTCTTCGCTTCGAAAACGACGCAAAAGCTGAACAACTTTTTTATTTTTATGAAAGCAGGCGGCTTGAAATTCACTCAATTTCTTTACTTTGAAACGCTCATTCATTTTATTAATTTAAACTATTTTTCATGCTCAATTATTTTTAGTTTATTAAAAAAGTTGCGTTGGTGACCCTCCTACGTCATTTTCGACGCATATGGGACTACTTTTTATCTAGAATTTTTAGAAATTTGTTTCGTATGCAGTTTATAACCCATTTAATTTTGGTGCAATAAAGTGCAAATTTCTAGTTTTGTTGAATAACATGCTTACTACTGTTTGTTGCTTCCGCTAAATAGGTGCATGTCAACGTATGCGTTAAGTGTATAGAAAATATGCTTATTTAAGACTGGAAGAGAGTACAAAATACACCTTTCTCGTTAAATAAATAAAAACCAAGATTTTTTTTTTAGTTTTTAAAGTGCATGATCTCACTCTATCTATTGAATACACTGAGTACCATATGCGTCGAAAACAACGCATTAGGGGCGACATTGCAAGTTTCTTAAGAGCAGTTGAAGTTTAAGATATTTACCTCTTTTTTCGATACACTTGTCACTGGGTGGGTGGGTTGTATATCGATTTCAGCATCGATTTCTGATATCGTATCATTAAATCCATTAGGAATTGTGGTACCAACGTTACAAGAACCTTCCATGGCTGACACCTGCGTTTCAGAATTAAGAGAGTGATGTTTTTGTATCAAAACGTGGCCAGTCACAACAAATATACAAGCGAGAACTCCTACTAAGCCGGCAATCAGTAAGTATAAATACAATCGCTCCTGGTTATCTGTAACAAAGAAAGCAGTTAACTGAAATCAATGCATAAGCTAAAGAAGACTTGTAGACTTGATATGTAAAGTGTGGTTACCAATTTTAAACGAGCTATTAAATTTGTTTACATATTTGTACTGAACATCTATATGTAGTATGTATATTAAGTTCCGAAAGTAATGCTGACAACGGGCTCGCTTATTTGCATAAACAGCCTTTATTTACATTAACTCATGCATTTTTCTCTTTCAAATGCACGAAATTTTTGGGAATTAACTCGGAGCAGGGGAATTTTCGATGGCAACACTGGTAAAAACGGCTAGCTGTTGTCTTTTGTACAAGTAACCAAACAAAGACGCGAGTTTGTCGTCCGGGGTAGCAGATTGGTGCAGAGTGGTGTGAATTGCGTGCTACAAGCCTGTAGCTGCCAGATCTGATCCGCGGTTGGAGCGATTGCCACACATTTTTTTGTTTTTATTATTTATTTAATTTTTATTTTTATTTTTTTTTTTTATATATCTTATTTTCATTTGCTTTATTTTATATCACATTTTTTATCTTACTATTAGTTAATTTAAATTTTTAGAGTTGAATTTTATTAAAATATCAACAAAAGCTAACTAAACGCAACGTTAGAAAATACATAACGCATAAAAAAATTAGTAAAATCGAAATAAGAAAAATTCTACAGGCCGTGAGACTCGTTTTAAATGCCAGACACCTCGGGAATGCTTATGCAGATTAACTAGCACACAAATGCGCATAATAATTTTGCCGGCAGTAATGCGGATTAATGAACCGCAAGTTCGTGGGTTCGAGTCCCAGACAATATGCAAAGGCCGAAAACCATGAAAGGAGTATGAACATTTTGAACTCTGAACTTTCTCAGGATTTTCAGATTTGGGTTGTGGAGCAGTCAGCATAAAATTCTATTAAAACATCGTTTCAAGCTGAGTACCTAAACCCGCAGCATCTGAAACAGTGGAGCTGCATGCAGCCTTAGCTCTCCACTGTGAAAAGATATAATTACATCGAGAATCGATTAATCAAAGCTTTCTGATTTGATTTTTCCTTTTCAAAAGCGGAGCTGATCGGTTTCACTAGATATAAATCTTTTATTAATGATACTAATTAATAATAACTGCACAGGTCAACTAAAAAAACGTTTTCAGAGGAAGGCAATAACATTCTACGTATTCTATTCAGTGTTGCCCTTTTGATGCTTTTGGAGCTACATTAAGCTCTTTATATTATATTTAGCTCCGAAAATTTTGCTTTAGCTTCTAGCTCTTTGCTTAGCTCTTTTCCAAATTATCTAGTACTTTTTAGCTCTAGAAAGTTTTAGTTGTATTTGGTCATATATTAAAATTACAAATCTGTAATCCCATTGCACAATTGTTGAAAAAAATATATTTAGCTTTGGTGATCTTAGCCTGTTTTCAATACCTTCATATTATTCTATTTCTCGCGGGAGTACACAAACTATACCGGACAGTAATTCGAGCTCCGATAAGCTGAGACGGTGTATTTTCTCTCAGGCGGCCATGGTAGAAAAGGAAAGCCAATTCTTAAGCTTTGGTGAAATTACAACTTTCGAAATGCAGTGGAAAAACCTACATTTGTATTGGAGAATAAGAACCACCGAAGAAAAACCAATTTGCCTATCAACCAGGCAAATCCACTGAGACTGCCAATCATAGTCTTACGAGGAAAATTGAAAAGGCCCTGCAGTCTAAGAACATAGCCCTTTGTGCCTTCGTTGACATTACAAGCGCTTTTGACAACACGCCATACGGGGCAATAAGAGATGCCCTGATATGCAAAAAAATAAGTCCATCATCAAGAATTGCGTGCTTTCCATGCTAAAATGAAAGCAGATTATTACGGCGTAAGGAGGCACGAAAGAATCTATTACATCCACAAGGTAGTGCATTCTCTCCTCTCCTGTGGACTGTAGTTACAGATGAGCTCCTCTTCCTACTGAACGACCGCGGCTTCGAAACACAAGGCTATGCGGCCGATCTGCGTAACAAGGCTGCATGACAGGCACCTAAGGATCATCTATTAATGCTACTTAAACTACTGTGGTTCCGTTTACCCGGAGAAAAATTTTATCCATGACGTAATTTACTCTGGGCGGCACTGGAATCTGTCTTTCAAATGAAGCAAAAGACCTGGGGCAAGGAAAGGAAGTATCGATACCTACTAAGTTCGGGCTAAAAGTATCGATACCTACTTGCACCTATATAAGAACTGTTTATATAAGAAACGCTTTCACACATCTATGAATTTTTGTCAGAATAACTTATGCGGCGATCAGTTTTGATTTTAGAAGAATGGTACTTTATCTTTTTAAGACAAAATTTAAGTTTTAAAATATGTTTTACTAGGATGGCCTCGCAAAAAACAGGAAAAAAGTGCATAGCCCAATAACTGGTTTTTTAAAACCCCCACAGAGTTTTGTTAACAGAACTTGCTTCTTTTTTATATACGTCTTTTATTTGTTATAAATAAATATTTATTTTGTACAAAGAGAAAGCGATTGAGATAAAAACAACTATTTTATAATTTATTTCATACAAATTAACTAATTAATAAAAATTATCTGTATTATAACACTGGTGAACACCATTTTCGCAGAGTCGCAATGGTTTATTTCTGAAAGAAGTAATAATGTTATAGTGAAGTGCAGGCATTCATATGGCTAGCTTAGAGTTAAAAGCTGCTAGGTCCATTTGTAGAAATTTTACAGGGAAGGAAAAAACTTTTCAAAACATTTCCTTGAAGAATTTTGCAAATTAAAAGATTTATAATTTTTTGTGAGCTTATCGAATTTTCTGTGCCTCTTTTGGACTAAGTAAATTTTCCTTTAATTGCATATAAACGGGAAGAAATAAAACAAGCACGTTAGTTAATCCTTTTGGAAATATTGCGCGTTTAATTTACCTCGCTTACTACATTCAAACATGTATTTTTACAAAAAGTGGACTTAGCAACTTTCCACTTTAAGCTAGCGATATTGTTAAAAAGGTCTTTCTTTGTAGAACTCTCTTTTCATTGGCATCTGAACTGCATAAAATTTTTAACTATTCACAATTATATTTAGATTGAAAAATAAAAGTCCGGGAATAAAATTGTCACTCAATCGAGTTTCGATACAAGTACTTTCATCAGATACCTACTAACTACTCGATTCAAAACATGTTTGTGAAGCTGGTAGTCACCTACGAATCCTTGGCATGGTGGATTAAAGCAACACAAAGATCTGGTATTACATTCAACAATTTTTAATGAGCTTGAGGCCGTTTTTAATGAAAAACTTATTGTGGAAAAGCAACATTAATGTGAAAAAATGGTAGAAGTGATAGCTATTCCGGAAATCATCAGCCTTTTTAGCGCTGAAGTCCCACACAACAACATCAAAACTTGTGAACGACTGCCTAAGCACCCTAAATGCTCTTGGAATCAAGATGACAGTATTAATGACTGAGTGCAGGGACATGAGGACCACGATGGCAATGAACAGGCGGACCGCCTAGCAAAAACGGAGCTACCACAATATTTCATGCCCCGAAACCAGAACTGTAAAACTGTGAAATCATTTAAAATTTTAATCATGAAATATTTACAAGTAGGATTTCATTCATTTTCCTTTGATCTGGTAGTGGGGCTTATATTTTTTTTCAATCTACAATCATTCAAAAAAAAAAATTGATTTCACACAGTAAGGTAGTAAGTACCTGAACGAAAAACTGAGCATGCTTCCAGATGAATGAACACTTTGCTATGTGTGCATTCTCTAATCCAGTTCCATTCAAATTTTATACTCTAAGAAAAATATGTAAGTTTAGATGATGGAATAATGAGGTGTATGAACTTTAAAACGATATTGACATAGTGTCGCGTATCAATGCACAGCGGCCACGCGGGCTAAGCCATGTCCTACGAAGGAATGGTTGTGCTTGGACTCCTCCACGCATGAAACGCAGCTTGATTCACATGAACATATTGTACAAATTTATAGTTTAGGTTGTTTAAAAACTGAGTGCGAAATGTTCCAAGACAATTAGTATCTACATTTTTCTTCTTATAAAGATTGGAAAATCTTCAGAACATGAAATAATCAAGCATAGCAACCATCAAATGATAGCAGCTTTTATCACTCAGTCCATGGTTTATCCACATACATATAATGTCCTTTTTTAAAATACATATGTGCCCATTTTCGCGCGGCCACCCTTCATGATCAGTTTTTATTTGTAAAGAACGATATTCCCATTTCCTAATACCAGGCGCTCATGCATGTGAAGTAACAAGTTTTCTATTTCTACGTACAAAATTCTTTGTATAAATTTTTAAATTTCCAAAATTTTACTTTGTACAGTTCAAAGGCTTCTACAAAAAATATTTATTTAAAAGTTCTACAAACAAATTTATACATATAGAAAGCTTGCTACTTCATATGTATGAGCGCCTGGTATTGAGAAATAAAAATATCTCTTTGTACAAATAAAAATTTAGTTCGTTAAAATTTACCGCAAGTTTCCTTCAAAAACATGCAGTTGGTTTTAAACAGCATTAACAGAATATCCAAAGCTGGTACGTACTTCTGGTCTTAGGTAATGCTTTACCAAATTGTAGCAGTAGTAGAAAAGCAGAAGTAAAACGACTATTTTCTCCTATAAATATTTTCTTCAAGGCATATTTTTTCAGTGTAGTACTGAATGATCAAAACTGTTTGCATTCAACCAAAATTTACAATCACGATGATTGCGAATAATTTTGTTACATTCACATTCTATACTGAATGGAACGCTGCCATTCAACAACACATTACGTTTGTTTTTGTTTCAAAATAATTTAAACCACTCAGGAATGAGGTTTTTTTTATACAGCCAAACAATCAAAATTTTGAAACGAGTGCCAAGTGAATGCAGATCCTACTGATTCAATCATTTTACAGCTCTGCCCAAAACCCTTTTGTTGGTCCACCAAATCAGACTCAAAAGAGATCAT